CGACATTATTGCGATTTGTCAGGAGAAGCTGCGAACAAAGTGTGAGACTGTTGACGAATAATGGTGGTCGATTGAGCAAGAAATTCCAGATTTCCGATTAGGGGTAAAGTTGCACAGCAACTTGGTGGTGGTGATGCAAAAAATTGGTGTTTTTGGAAATAACGGTTATTGGGTATTAGTTGATGCTGCAATTAGGAATAGAGACCAGCTCTAGGGGAACAAAGAACAAAAAACAACGGAAAGGGGGAAAATCAAAGACCTGGAATTATTTGTCGAGTGCTTGCTGAAGAGAAGAGAGAGGAAAGGAAGACGAAAGGGATGGGAGGCTTCCATTATATGCCTTGAGCGGCCGTAGTTGGAGGCCAGGCGAGGCCGCATGAGAGGGCCAACGACACATTGTGTGTGGTGGGTTGGAAAAGCCACTCGAGATGCGGTGCTACATGCGCCGCTCATGGCTGGGGGGCAAGCAAGCAAGCAGTCAGCGTGCCTAGTCCCAAGGTACTACGCAGTAGTGGAGTGTGCAAAGGAAGCATCACTTGATGGACGGCCCAATGAGGAGGATGCTGGGCATGGCAAGGCTTGTGGATGGCCGATGCAGGTAGCCAATATCACACTGATGATGGTGCTCCGCATCGGCGCTCAAGAGATCAGCCGGCCGGGGATCCCCTCGCGCAAGTACGGGAACTGGGAAGTTGGGAGCTAGTGAAGCTCTCTCGAGGTGTGCTGGCAAATAGGAAGCAGGGCGGCCTCAGCAAGCGCACCCTATCCCCATCGCCGTCACCTCTGGCGCGGTTGTTCCCCTCTTTCCCATTCGTACCCTGGGCAGGTAGGCAGAGGTCGTTTTCTGACCAAGTCCATTGTTGCGTTAGTGCTACCACGAGCCGGCCGCTGGGATGGGCCATGTCTGCACGCTGGGCGGTTAAGCATGGTGAAGGAGAGGGGTTTCCTGGACACGGCGGGCCAAAATAGAAGAGATAAGTGGATCTCATCCGGGATTGTGGGTACGAAAGCGCGGTACGTTCCTCCGTCCACCGCGTGGCTCCAAGCCGATTGCCCTTTTGGCTTGATTGGGCGTCTAAATCCCTGCCCTCATTGGCCAATAGATTTGCACGTCGCTCTTCTGTGCCCGGTCGCTCACCTGGTGATGTGCTGCACCTCGCGCCAATCAGCATCTCAACTCTTCAACTGCCCGTATGCAGCTTCGCGGAAGCATCACCACTCTCACAAGCCTTCCAGCCCTCCTCATACTTTTTGCTTCCCAACCGGATTGGCTTGGCTAGCCAAGTGCAAGATGAGGAGAAATGCCCATGACCGAATTCCCGCACGGTATTCGCTCGCTCGCCGTATCGGTCTGTCCGCATCACTGAATGAACTGACATACTGCATCATGCATCGAGTCAACATGCATGCGGTCTGCATGTACATGCGCGGCTTGCTGAGAAGACAAACTTCCTCATTGGAGTGCTGATGGCCTCCGCCAGCCGTCGCCCAGGGAAGAGCCGGAGATCGCGCGAGTAGGAAGAAATGGGACACGGAAAGAGGCGCCAGACGCCATGTTCCTGGTTCCCTGACGAACATGCAGGCTTTTCTGTACGCCGTCGTTCGCAGCATTCTCATCGTGCTTGCCTTTGCATCGCACCATGGAAGACACATGCAATACTCGATCGTCAGTCCAAGTCGATATCCGTCTGCTGTGTCAAAGATGCGGTGGTTAATGGAAGCCAGGCCAAGGAGTGCTCAAAAAAAATCCCCGAATAAGGGGCCTGTGGGAGATCAAACACTACCGAGATCCGGAGCTGGGAGAGGGCGCAGGAATGGGGGCAGAAAAGCCAAAAAGCCATGCGTTCCGCAGCCTGCTCCCCATTTCCTGGGCGGTCTGGCCTGCCTGCCTGCCCTGTCGGCTGCTGTCAACAAGGCCGATCGTAAGGCGACCCGCCAAGGGCAAACTGCCGTCCTCCGCCTTCGGTCGACATCCGCCCCTCTGCGTGACCTTGAGCCACCCACACCTCGGCGATGGAAGGTGAGATACTGCCTGCCGTTCCATTCTTCTTCGGGATGGTCCCAAGGTGCGTCATCCGGCTCCATGCATGCGACGGTCTCTAGCTTCGGCGGGTATGTGAGGCCCATCACACGGAAGGAGCTCTGCCTGGCTGGAGAGAGGATGGACGACGCCGCGTTGATATCCCCTCATGGCATCTCATGGCATGCATCTTGGATCGAGGATCCAGTTCGCAGCATGCAGAAAGTCTGGACCGCCAAAAGCAGCTCATCGTGATCGCAGTCCAGTTACATCGGAAGGATCCTGTGGCCGGACGACGATATCCATGCGCCCGAGGCGACGTGAGATATCAAGAAAAAAATGCTGGGTGATGCCGGCGGATGTCTCACAAAGACTGCAGGCTCGAAGCGGTCTGACCTCAGTATGGCGAGGTTCCGGTCTGCTGACGAGCTGAATGTCCGCGAGTAACGTCGACGTTGCAGGCCTCACACGAGGTGATCTTGCGGTACCTCGACCAAGCATCTTGGCCGTCCAAGATCCATGCCGTTGTGGTGAGGTTGGTGTGGCATCTCGTAGGTGACGGGAGTACCTGGCGGGAATCAGCGGGATCGCCCGTGAGAGGCCAATGGATCCACCTACAGAAAGCTTACGTCACGTGACTGCGCACATGTTGCCGTTCCAATGTCGCGAATTTCGTCCGTTGTTGAGACGCGTTCTGCCCGCGTTTGCTCCGGTTATCTCCTGCTTCTATCGCCGGCCTGACTCAGTCACTTCAAGGCAGCAGCTCTCGGAATCAAACTAACAGCTTCGAACAGCCTCAAGTCTGTTGTGGTCCGCCGCCGGAAGCATCTGATTACCAATCTACCTGTGAGAAGTCTTGCAGGTATCTTCAATAAAGGCACAGCTGTCTCGGTCTCGGGAGACCTCGAGGCTTTCGTCAAGTGCGATCCCCGGAAGATTATCTCAAGGAAATTTCGGCTGCCTGACTGCCATTGGCAGCAAGTCTTCATCATGGCTTCCAACTCAACTACAAACGAAGAGCTCATTGCTAAGGTTACGGCATACGTCGAGGCCTACATGGCAAAGTACGATGCTTCCCACGACTTCAACCACATCAAGCGCGTCCTCTCGCTGGCCCACCGCATATATGACCAGTCCCCTGCCAGCCCAACACTAGACAAGCATACCATCACACTCGCGGCCCTCCTCCATGACGTCGGCGACCGCAAGTACCTGAAGCCCGGCGAAGACGCATCGACCCTTGTTTCTACAGTCCTCCAGTCTCTCGGTGCTGACGAAAACCTTGCCGTCCGCGTACAGACCATTTGTCTCGGGGTCAGTTACTCCAGTGAGGTCAAGGATCCGGCCCGCGTCCGCAGCCTGATCGCCGACTACCCAGAGCTCGCGGTCGTGCAAGACGCCGACCGTTTGGATGCCATCGGCGCCGTGGGCGTCGGCCGATGCTTTACGTTCGGTGGTGCCAAGGGCGCTCGGAGCATGGACGACAGCATCCTGCACTTTGAGGAGAAGCTGGTGAAGCTGGAGGGCATGATGAAGACGGAGATCGGCAAGGAAATGGCGAGAGAGCGTACGAAGCGAATCTTGACCTTCATGGAGTGGTGGCAGGATGAGGCCGGGCCAATCAGCGCATGAGTCAACGAGTCTTTCTTTGAAGGTGTTCATTTTCGATTCAACTCGATACCCAATTTTGTTTGTATTGTCAAGGTCCGTGTCTCAACTAGGACTGCTTCTTAAACATGCTCAAAACGAACCCGTTTACGATCTATACCATTCCTACCCGCTCAGCTTTGTTGCTCAACTGCCTGCGGTTTGTCTCGAGCTGCAACAAGTCGAGCCTTTCTCAGTCGTCTCTGCGCACGCCTGTACCTCCACGCCCAGTCAAACAGCCCCAGCAGTGGAAGGACAAAAACGTCGACCGTCCTGACCGACGTCCGCAGCTTGAAGTCGTCCTGCACGCGAGGTCGGTCGAACGACGAGCACAGCGTGTTGACCAAGTACAGGCAGACCTCCCTCAGCAACTCTCGGCCCTCAAAGTTGAACAAGAACGCAAACCCGCTTCCGTCCTCCCACGGAACCTCCGCATTCCTCACCCGCTTCGAGTACAGCTCGCCGAAGCTGTCGTCCCGCGCCAGCATGAAGGCAGTCACCGCTGCCCGGCGCAGCAGTCGTGGATTCGGGCCCTCGAATGTGAGGAGCGTCGCGACGAGGCCGGCCCAGGGCAGGCGGTCGCGCAGGCCGAAGTAGTACAGGAAGGAGGTGTACATATAAGCGCCGCAGCAGACGCCGACGCAGGTCGTGAGGTCGAATTCGCGAGTAATGAGGAAGAGGAGACCCATAAGGGGGTAGGTCGCGACGAAGAGGCGGAAGTGGTTCGTGAGGGTGATCCACACCTCCCAAATGATCGCTGCAAGGACCTCCCAGACGATGGCGCCAAGGTCTCCGATGCCTAGCAGTATCATGACGTAAACGCGGGTCCCAGAGACGGCAGGCTGTCGGACGACTGCCATGGCTCTCCCGTTGATTCTGGGCGAGGGAACGGTTCGGATTGAGTTATTCAGGGTGGATTTGAGGTTCGTTTGATGACGGAAGCGTCCGGAGCATCGTGGTTGTCCAGGTATAGGGAAAAGAGGTGAAGCGTGGTAAACGCGCCTTATCTATCCAGGTTGTTGGGAACAATAAAGTTAGGGCATAGTTGGCGCATTCCCAAGGGGTGAGCAGGCGCGATCCAAAGTGGTGTCTCACCTTCTCTCCCTTAGCTTCTCACGAACCCCCCACGTAGCGCGCGCCATGGAACGCCACAACGGTGCCCCAATCTCCGGAAATAAGGATTCGAAGCACATTTTCTTCGACCTTATGAGGAAACCTTGTGAGCAAGCCGATCTGAACATAAAGCTGCCTTGCGACATGCAACGTCGGCGGTCGTCCTTCACGCACAGATACAAACAAACCGTTGGGATTCCCGGACCCTGAAGCTGTCGCCATGGAGAAGCTACCGACCGAGCTTCTAGAGAAGATACTTCTGCCAGAGAACTTTGAATGGCCCGCCGATTTCGACGAGACGACCGCATTGATCGATGACCTTTTCGACGTCAACTTCTTCAACACTTGGAGGCGGTCATGGGTGTATCTTCGTGTCTGCCGCAGCTTCAACGAGGTGCTGAAGCCCATTCTCTCTGCCAAGTTTAAAAGACAGGATGTCGCGCTTTTAATGCTGCTTAACGATTCACCACATCGGCGGCTGCAGGTACTTCATCCGCCACGGGACGAACGCGAGACTTCAGACTTCAAATATTTCCTCAAATGTTGGGATTGAAGGAGAGCCAGCTTGATCCACAGCATACACCAGACTCTCCACGAGCCCAAGGCCGTCTGGCCGAGTTCGCACGGATTCCCGAATCTGGAGATGAGCCTCGGCGAGGCGGAAAGCCTCATATTCCTTCCCTGGGAAGAGAGATGTCGAAGTCGTCCGCAGAAAGCAGCATATAGCGCATGTGCATTGAAATATACACTGAGCCTCAAAGAGATTGTGTTATCGAGGCCACATGAAGAAGGATATTTCCATTACATTAGAAGGCTGGGCCAGTTGAAGTGGTATGAAAAGGAAATGATACAGGCGGCACAACATAGTTGTGAGCACTGAATGATTCAAGCTGATTTGAGAGCCTTTGTTCTGACGAGTTGGGCCTAGAAACCCCACGATGTAGAAAACTTGATCTGTCACTCGAAAGAGCTTTATTATCTGAGGGCGAAGTGACATTATCTCTATCTAATAGTATGCGGCTTAATTGTTCCAACTATTTTTATAACTATTGCAATCGTTCTTGCCGTTGTCGTTACTGTTGTCTACATCGTCCATATTATGGCTGCGGAATACCCTCTAAAAAGGTCCTACGTTACGTGATATCTCCTGCGAAATGCGCTTGGTAGACAGAACGAATGACGAGACAAGCCAACTCAAAGGAGCTTTTCAACCAACCGTCGTCGTCGTCATGTATTACACATTCGATATATGTCTGGAGTAATCTTCCTGTTTTCAACCTTTTAGAAATCTCCTATTGAAAGTCACCCTCTTCTGTATATTTAATGACAAGAAGGAAGGACGGTGGTAGTAGAAAAAAAGATAGGGGTAGCAATGAGAATAACGACGATAGACGACGATGACGACGACGACGACGATAGACGACCAAAACGACAACGACAGCTCGTCTACTATTTATTGGCCTTCAATGCCTCCCACCACCTCGACTGAACCGTAACTTGATGAAATCGTCGACCAATCTCGAAGGGTCGGCCACGGTCATGTGCAAGCATTCCAGGGTCTGCATCTGAGCCTCCTGCATCTTCCTATACGTATCGCAGCCCACGGGATCTTCACCGCGCCACCAATGCATACACAGACCGGTCGGGCCGCCGAGCCTCAGGAGGTCTTCCCTATATAGCCAGCACCAGTCGTCAAAAGCGCACAATACCAGCTTCTCAGCGCGGTCATTGTTCATCGCCAATATTAGGCGGTCATCGCGAGTGACCACACGGTTCGGGTTTCTGAGGGCCACGTACATGTTCCAGAGGAAACTGGTCCTCTGCTTTTCCCCCAGAGTCCAATGCTCCAATATCTGGTTGAGGGGCTGCAGCGGGTGGTAGCAGCCCTCGATGACCCCCATCCAACCGAGCTCGTGCTGGGGGCCGTCGACGATAATCGTGGCGGCCAGTATGCTGAGGGCCTCCTGACGGAAGGCATGGCTTAGCAAGGGAAAGAGGAAGTCGTTGAAGCGGCGGCAGACGGTGCGCAGCTTCCAGAACTTCCTCCATCTCAAGAAGAACTCGGGGTCGTGGTTGGCCACGTCAGGCGCCCTGTCGTGAAATACGTGAGAGACGGATTGATAGGTGACACCTGGCAGCAAAATCGACCACAGTAGTTCTTGGGGGAGTTTCAATATCCACGCGGGTCGTGGTGTGGTTGATACCACCTTGCTGCTTGGAAATTTGAGATGTGCGGTTGGTACCATTTTGCTGCTTGGAGGTTTGAGATATGCGGTTGGGTTGAGGTATGTGGTTAGTACCATCCTGCTCCTTGGAGGTTTGAGATATGCGGTTGGTTCGAGATATGCGGTTGGTTTGCAGAAGCCAAGGTAATCGAGAATGTGAAACATGCTGCCTGATGAGACTTGCCGTCTTGTTGTCGAAATGGATAAGACTCATCGACCTAGAAAGGAGGTTGCAAAGGTTTGCGAAAAGTTGTTACTATCTCCATCAAGGTCGCCCAGGCAGGCACCTGCAAGTGTACCCTAATTCTTCTCATACTGCAAGCCTACATTTACTAACCCTCTTTCGTCACTATTATTGTTATTATTATTATTACTGTCGTTTCTGTCATCGTCATCCTGTATCGTCGTGTTATCATCGTCTATCGTCGTCGTCGTCGTCTATCGTCGTCGTGTCCATTGTCGTTATGGTTTTCTCTACAGCCATCGTCCTTATTAGGTGTATTACGATTCACGTTGCAGAGGACACTGTGCAGCTAGCAAAACTCTTGTACAAAGGCGAGGTTACCTTCGTTTGTACTGTCCTCACTTACACACGACAGCAATAGCGGTAATGACTTTTTCAGCAGTGCATCAGGTGACACCACGACTACAACACGATCTGCATTAAATACAACTCCATACGCCTGGTGGACAGCTCTGGTTCCCACCATATTCTACGATGCCGATGATTAAAACAAGATTGTGTGTATAAATGGCTTGAAATTCCAATTATTTGACAATTCCTCCGTGCGGGATATCAAGAGAGTGAGTTTACAGGAAAAGAGCAACAACAACGCCAACAACTGCAAGATGACCAACGGTGTTCTGCGCAGCACCAGCTGTTGGCACAGAAGAAGGACCCGTACTGGAAGGAGAACCCGGAGTGCCTGTGGGACCGCTTGGGGTTCGAGTTGCAGAAGAAGAAGGGGTAGTGGACTGGCCGGGTTGACCAGACTGACCAGGTTGGGTAGATTGGCCAGGTTGACCGGGTTGACCGGGCTGACCGGGCTGACCCGGCTGGCCAGGTTGGCCCGGAGTACCAGGTGCGCCGGGGTTGCTGGTAGGAGCTCCGGGAGCACCACTGCCGCCCGGGGTCGTTGTTGGGGCAGTACCGTTACCACGCGGGACAGTTGTCGGAATAGTGCCATTGCCGCGAGACATCGAGGGGGCAATGCCATTACCACGAGAAGTCGTCGGAGCAGTGCCGTTACCGCGACCGCCCCCACCACCACCGCTGCCACCACCGCTACCGCCACCTCCGCCGCCAGTACCAGGGCCTGTCGGTTCGGGCATGGGAAATGTGAATCCAAACGTCGAAGAGCTCCTCGTCATCATGGAACCGCCGCCACCGCGTCCACCGCCAGCACCGGTACCGTTACCACCGGGAGCCATTGTCCCGGTAGGTCTCCCGACGGGGTATGTCTGAGAGCCCGTGACGGCGGAGTACGGAGTGCACACGCTGGGCGGGAGGAGGAAGGGCTGAGGGCTGGCATAGACGACGCAGTTCTTCTCGCAAGCGGCATCGCCGGCGTCGGCGTTGCTCATCCAGCACTGCGCGGGCTGGACGCCGCGGGGGTACTCCCCGGCGAGGTTGTTTGTGCAGCGGCCCGGCTGTCCCTTGCCTTGGGCGTTGCAGCGGATAATGATGTCTGTGCCGAAGGAGTCGCCGGCGCACCATTGGGAGTTGGCGCGCGAGCAGGTGTATACGCCTGTTGTTTGGTTGCTGTACGTTGCGTGTTAGTGGCGTGGAGGGAGGGACGTTGAGTGATGGAAGGGAGGGAGGGGACTGACTATGTGTAATCGGCTGATGCCAGGGCCGACATGGCCAACAATATGGAGGCGTGTGTCTTCATCTTTTGTGGTTTGCAGTGTATGTTCTGCTTGCTTCCTTGGTGTTGAAATATTTATGAACCAAGACGACTGGATAGTGTAAGTGAGAGGGCAGATAGTGTATATATAAAGCAAAGCACACAAAAACGAGTGATGTGATGCTTATGCTATAATATGATGCAACTGACGATGAGTGAAGATGGGATGGTCAAAACATTCGGCAAGTAAGGGTGGGTGTTGCAAGCAAGGGCATCCATATATAAATGGTGAAAGATGGTGTGAGCTTGTTAGCCGCGACGGCGGCGAGAGAAGAAACGTCGAAAGCCATCTTCGGGCGCGCGTGGGATGGAGAGGCTGGGATGGGCGAGCTAACGCAAGCAAGCAACGCAAGCAAGTAAGGCAACCCTTTCCACCCATCCACGCAAAAGCTGGACTCGCGCGGAGAGAGAGACAAGAAACGTTGAGACACGAGAAAGGGACAGGTTGACGGTACTGGCGCAGCCGGGCTGGGCTGAGGCTGGTAGCGGCGCACGCGGGTTTCCCGATGAGACGAAATCGGGGCGCTCCTCGGTCTATTGGGCGGACTTTGCATCTGACAGATACGGCTGCCCTTCGCATTTCTCGGCCAATCTTTCCTTTCTTCCTTTTCTCATAGCTTTCGTTCAAGTATCATTTTTTGTGTGATCTTAGCCTGGAGCCGTACCTGGCTGACTAGAATGTGTCCGAGAGCGTTTGTGTAGGTTTCGCGCCGGTCTACCTCGCCTGGGTGCGATATGCGGGAAACGATGGTGTGAGATGTTTCTGCAACCAGGATCTCGGCAGAAGTCTCCGATGGACCGGGACAAGGTATTTTTGGCGTTTGGGAGGGTCAGTGAATGCCAGTGGCAGGCAAGGGAAGCCCACATCGCAATGTCTCGCCCTCAGGAAGACGAGAGGAGAGACGGGGAGGATGACCGTGTCGCTGACATCACGAAACGGAATTCCAACCTCTTGTGGCTACGCATTCTGCAGAAACTGCCAGAATGTTGTTTCCGGCCCGTCGCATCTTCGAGATGCCTTCACATCTACTCCAGATTGACCCGTTAGTAGGTTGCAGTTCCTTAGAGGTGTTGTCAGTTCCATGAGGCGAGGAGCAGATTTCCACCTGTGGAACTCTACGCCAGGACACTGGAGAGGTCGAACAACTCCGGGAAGAGCCATCTTTGATTGGATTTGCAACCGTACGCCATCTTCAAGTCCTCGCAGACAATGACTCTGCCGACGGGCAATTTCCAACACCGGGCACCCGCTACCGAGTGAGACAAGCCGATACAATGCAAACCTGCAGGTGGCCGGGGCAAAAACGCTCTCTCTCCAGCCCGGAAACAAACAACCCTCACTTCCATGAGAAATCGCGGCGACAACACGTGCAGGCCTTCAAGCCACCCTCCGTCGCAGAATCTTCATCATACATGGGTCATCAGCGCAAGGAATGACTCTCGACCAAGTCCGTTATCCGCTCCGAGTCGCCAAGGTGGGATGATGGGACGGAGCAGTCGCGGATGATCCGGAATTCGGAGCTGGGGCGCAAACATGGTCTGCGAAATAAACGTGCGTCATTGCCACGGAGAAGCCAGCGTGACCGGATCTGAGATTCCACTCGCCATGACAGATGCTAAGCTTCTTGCCCCGTGAACTCTGCTGTTGTAGCTGCCCAGCTGTGGCACGACACTGCGCAGTGTGTAGCTGAGATCGCGAGATTGTCGAATGAGAACGAGTAGACGGTTTGACAGCTGCTTAACCTACGGCGATGACGGACGCTCGGTAGCTAGCGAAGGCACCGCCTCGTGGCCCGCGGTGCCGATTAAGCTTGAGGCTTGACACTTGTGGCGAGACCCGAAGGAAACCAACGTTTTTGACCGTATCCTTTCAGCTGGACAAGCCTCGATGGCGTTGAGTGAAAGCACGGCACAATGCTATTCTTATCCTTGACTCACGTACACGATCTGCTGGCTGCGGCCGTGATTTCTGTCGTAACCAACGCCGTTGACGATACTATCGAAATCATGCAACTTGCATGTCCGCCGTTCGCGTATCTCAAAAGAGTCACCTAAAGAAAAGGCATGCCTGGGCAGTCGGCCTCCACCGGCGCACCCAGCGCACCCAGCGCGCTGGAATGTTCCCCCCTGCCCTTAACCAGCCTAACCCTGTAACGAAAATAGAAAACCACCCAAGAGGCCCTGTCCGATTCGTCCCCGCCGCTACCGAAAACACACAGGCGCCTTTGGGTCCCGTCCGTGCTGCCCCCCCTCCCCCCCACTAACTCTAACAGAGACCTCCGTCGGTCTCCCTCGGCCCCCAAATCGCGATGCGAGCTCCGATGCGCTGCACATTCCAGACGCGGGTTGGGTTTTTGGCAGCTGAGGGAGATGGCGAGCGCGACGGGGTGGGAGGGCAGTCCTGACTTCTCTTGCTCTCAGCTGACCCGCCTCGGCTATGGGTGTGTAACGTGTGAAGGAGAATGGGCGACGTTGGGGGTGATGTCATTGCTGCCCCCCTACGAGCGACATGTTGAATGTTAGCTTACACGACGAAGCAATCTTTTCCAAGGTTGTAAAATAGTTGCTCAATCAGGCGTGATGCTCTTCCTCGGAGGTCTTGAGGTATAATTTTCTATATGAGACTAACCATATTTAGTGTATTGTAGCAATTCTTCATGTTCTTCATCTTTGTTTTCTCTCTTCCAGCTCATGGTTGTCTGTGTCGCCGTCGTTGTCTTTTCTACGATTGTCGTTTCGCCGTCTCAACAGTAATATGACTTGATCATTCTTCGACGTGCTTTATTTCTTCTCTCATAGACTCGTGATAAACATAGCAACAGCCCACCGACCGCGACACCAATCACCAACTTTTCCTCTCACCACCACCCACTAACCAACGCCTGTTGTAGAAACTTCATCACTAGGCTGCCAAGAATCATATCTGACCACAGAAGTATCCTTGACACCCTAGATCCCCATGATGCACATTATGTGATTACAACTCCTCCGAAGCAGACTCGGTCTCGTTAACCATGGCGCTGAGGGGTCCGCGCTTGACCATGATGCTCATGATCTCGTACAGAGCGTCGGCCGCGGCCATGGTGGTGTGCTCGGCGTTGGTGTCGTACGCAG